AGGAAAAGATATGAGCATCATGGACATTCATCCATGTAATATTTAGCATCAAATCTGAAAAGTCTAAAATGGAAACAAATATAGAGAAAGATAAATTAAAATTAAAATTAAAATTTTTGATAGTAATTTTCATACACTCCATTCAAAAAAAAGGAAGAGACAAAAAATTCAAATATACAACATATTATTGAATTGATATGATTGAAATTAAATTCACACACATACATGTGCATCAGGGGGAGGGAGAGAATCCTTGCTTTGTGAGGTACCCTATGAACTGAAACTTGCGCATATCAGAATTGTGTCCTTGTTTTGCCTGGTTCTGTGGGAACTGTTACCACTGTATATTTATATAATATAAAATTAAATATTACACATATTTATCTGTAATACATATATACAAAACCTCTATATATACAGATATCTATATAATGATATTCTCTCTCTCTCTCTATATATATATATAGAATATTCTCTATCTCTAGATAGATGGTAGGTAGAATGAACCTTAGTCACAACAAAAATACACTTATTTATGACCAGACTTGGAATATTTACAAACATTGAGCAGGGATAGGTCACAGAAGAAGCCTCAAAAAATTAAAAAAAAATCAGTTTGATACAGATCATAATCTCTAATCTCACCCAAGTGAAGCAACCAAAAAGTACAGAAAAGAATATAAGTCCTCAGGCACAGTTTCTAGGGGTGCGTCAAAGATGCCATTTTAGGGAATTTTTAGTTTTAATTTTGCTCTGAGTTACCATCTCTTTATTTGTTGAAATTTGAATGCGTGAATGTACTCTAGTTTCATTATGATTGAAATTGCTGAGTGAATTCTAGCATGGCATAGGAATAGCATGGTACGGCACAGTATGATAATATGATTTATTAAAATTCTAATTAATAAGAAGGCTAGTTTTGCAAACTATGATCATATTATGCCTACTGTATCTATTCAATTCTATTTTCATAATTTTAATTGCACATTTATTTCATGTTTCAGCAGTTTTATTAAGGGCTGCTTGCAACAGAGTCAAAGGAATGGCTATTTTTAAACATTGATCATCCTAAAGAGGGTCTTCAGGTATTAAATATTATTTTAATATTGGAATGTGAAATGAAGAGGCAAAAAAATACTCAAATAGGTTCGCTCTAATTAATTTAGCATTCGGATGATTAGAGAGGTCTTAATTGTATCCTTCAATTTATGTATCTTAACCCAATTATACAATAGTGTTCCCTCAGTGTGAGTTAAGTCATGGACATTGCTGAATCTTTAACCTGAAGTTTAGAAGTCATAAACAATCAGATTTCACTTGTCGAAGTCTAGTAGGTGTCACTGAATGAATCATTGCAAAACTACTTCCCGGAAACACTGATGTCTAGCGAATCTGCCTCTATGTACTTGTTTTTGACCAAATCATAAGCTTCTGTGCATTTACTGACAATTAAAATCTCTTTCCAGGTCCCTGTTGGTTTGGTAGGAAGCTTTTATCTATCATGTAGAAATGAAGTGACTGAGGGCACGTCTAAGGGCCATATAGCTAGGCTCAGTGAAGCCTGGGGATTAGGGGAATTGGCCATGATGGATCCAGAGACTAGAGCTCCCTGACAAACTAGATCAAGATGCACTGTGTCCATCAACAGGCAATAAACACACAGTGTCTTATCAATTCTGTTCAAGGATCCCAAGAAGATGGTTACAGTTTTCTCTCCATCTTGGAGACAAGGAGCCTGAAGCTGTGATGGCAGTACCTAGCTGGGGCCCCACATCCAGCCAGTGGCAGAGTCTGATTCTAAACCAGGTCAAGCTGTCACTGAAACCCCAAGGTCTTTCCCCATTCTGTGTCACTAGGAGAGAGAGAATTCTTTGTCACTCTCCTCTAGTTCAGGAACCACTCCATGAACGAGGTCACCCAAATGCAATTTCACTGTTAAAATAACAGTAATGTTACTGTTACTGTCCCATCACTGGGCTCCTGGCTAAAGACACACTGGTGACTCAGTGACAGTGACAATGAGCAGGGCCACACGTGCCCTTCCAAATCCAGATGTCTTACTTGCTATGGCAGAAGAGAAGCCACATCTGCCTGGAGAGCTGTGGAGGTCAGAGCTGAAAGCATCACCTGGTCTCCCGTGGACAGCTGGAATGGTCCACACCCGATGTTGCACCTGCATGTGCCAAGCTGCCCCCAAGGGCAGCGTGGGGTCTGTCGCCAGGGTAGGCAGCTGTGTGGCCTTGGGAACCACTAACTTGGGCTCCCTCAGTTGTGAAATGACAGATTAGATGAAATCACCTAGCTTTATGATTTGCTCTTTGGCAAGACACTGCCAATCTGGCAGATGAGTTACTAAGGACCTACAAATGATGAACTTTTAAGGTTCACAGATAATTCTGGATTTGGAGTTTGTTTTAGAAATGCTCTGCCGCCGAAAGCGTTGGCATTTTGCGTTAAATCACTTCACAGCTGTAGATGCGCAGCTACTGTGAGAAGAGCAAACTGTCAGATTAAGATGCTAAGACGATGAGCTGTGTTTGCTTTCATTTTAGTCAAAAATGTCACGTTCACACCAGATCTTATTCATTCATGGAGTTTCAGGGCGCTTGATACTGCGGATGGCCCCTTCCTTCCTGTAACGTCCTCTCTCCCGTCTTCTGTGATGTGGTAGCCGAGATCTGGTCCTCCTCTCCATCACGCCTCCACCTCCTTTCTGAGCTCCCCCTCTGCCTCTCTCTCTGGCAGGGGCTTTCTGGTGCTTTCTGGCTGCACACAACCCACGAGTGAACCCTACTACTCTGCGGGCCAATTACTGCAGATCTGCACCCCAGCCCGGATCTAGGGCTGAACTCCAGACGCATCCATTCCTTCATTATGGATGAAGGTGTCCACCCCTTCCTTCTCCCTTCCAGATGCTCCTCTTCCCACCGTTCCCCGACTTGAGAAATAAATGGCACTGACTCTCACCATGGCAGAAAGGTATGGCTGTGAAGAGCTGATTCAGAACCAGATCTGGGGCCCCAAACTTAATGGTCTAAGGTGCTAAAAAAAAATCAATATTCTTTTTCATAGTAGGGGATGGGTGGGAAGGGGACAGGGGCAAAACCGAGGGGGGCAAGCTAGTCTAAAGGGGGAGGCTGACGCTTAACTCCAGCTCACAAGAGCCACGTAGAATCACAGGCTCACTCTACCCAACTGAGGGCTTTTGTGAGAGAAGCCGGAAATGTGGATTTCAGCGTGAAATCTCTACATTTAAAAATGCTGACAACCAATCAAATTTAAGACAATACAGACTAAACAAAATAAGAGTGGTGGGCTGTTATTTGACAGCTCTGTTTTAGACTGATGGTATTCAAACACTTATTCAAGAACTGTTTTTAGAGCAAATTAAATTTTACCTGTTTGGAAGTCCAATTTAGCAAGTAACCACTATTCGTGTAACAATTTCAAAAACCATGGTTTTCCATCTTTATAGCAAGGTGTGTGCTTTATAGCTCACTGAACTGATTGTAAAAACTTTAAGAGAGCCAAAAATAAGTTCCTAATAGCTAGCTTGTTACACAAGAGCCCCAAATTTTATGATAAAAACGGTCCAGTTTGTGAAATACTGATAACAATCATCTGATGCCTGTGATGTTACGTCTGGCATTGTGTGTCTGAATGTGTGACTATTCCGTTGCCCAGACTGAATGTAGAAAGCCCCGTCTCTGTCGAACGTGGGTCCTCCAGCCATTATACCCTGACTTGCTGATTCACCAGCATGAACGTGTCAATTTTCACCACACCTGATTCCATCATGTAAAATAGATGAAACACATTTTTCATGTCAATTTCTTTTCATCATCTCGACTCTGTGACATTTATTTTCTCCAGTCGCTTTCCTTTCAGCCAGCACCCTGTTTGTCAGCCTGTAATGTGCCTGCTCTCACAGCCCGTGTAATCCATTATGTCTTTTAAATACACAGAAGTAAAAATGCTGAAAGAGGGCCTATGATTATGTTGAGAACAAAAGTGAAATTACTCCACAAAGATGTGTGTACCGTTGCTTTGGTCTTAGAAACACATGGATTTAAAAATAAGCTTTCCCTATAAACTTATTCATAAGCACAAAAGCTTCTAAATGGTCACGATGTCTGTGTCTGGCCACACCTCGCCCTGCCAGCTCCTGATTCTCTCTCATGGAATCGAGGTGGTAAAAGATGCCTTAGCGTGTGGTCTTCAGGGTGTTAGAGTTTGGTGTATAACACCGTTGACTGTGAACTGTGCGTTTTAGTAAAATGATCGCATTCCCTAAAATAGTAAAGCATCCATAAAAGTGAATGACGTATAGCACAGGGAACTATATTCAATATCTTGTAGTCACCTATGGTGAAAAAGATTATGAAAACGAATATATGTATGTTCCTGTGTGGCTGAAGCATCGCGCTGTACACCAGAAACTGACACAACATTGTAAACTTCAATAAAACAATATACACATGCATATATATATATATACATATACATAATAGAAAAAGCCAAATCTGACTCCATGTTAGCTCTGTTCCTTTGGCTTTAACCCTGTGCCCTGTGTTCTAGGCTTAGTCTTGCTGGCTCTGCACTCACGTAAAGATAACAAAGTTGCAGAATAGAGGATAACGTTCGTTTTGTTGGAGGTTTTGCAGGAGCACCATGAGCTGGCCCAGGTGGATGGCTGCAAGAACAAAGAATTCCTACACCAAGAAGTTTGCAACAATCCACCACACTACCTTCCCTGTTTTTTGTATAAAAGGAGCCTGTATTCTGACTGGGGGATGATGGTTCTCCAGCACATTAGTCTGCCATCCGCTCGGTCTGCCAGCTTTCCGGATAAAGTCGCTATTCCTTGCCCCAACACCTCGTCTCCTGAGTTAGGACTCGGCAACATATATAAAAGTGAATGATGAATTACAGACTTGTTGGACACCCAGACCGCGCGCACAGACTGTCACTTCTGCGGGACTCGGGGCTGTCCTACTCACCGATGAGGTACATGCCGATCCAGTCCCCAGCGTCCACCTCCTCCTTTATGTCCCAGTGGATCACCAGGTCCTGGGAGTGCCCGATGGAGTAGTAGGAGCTGCTGACCATGAGCGTGGAGCGGCTGTCGGAGGTGACCAGGTCGGTGTCGCTGGTGGAGCGGGGGATGGTGACGGCGCCATGGGGGCCGTTCCTGATGGCCATGCTGTGGAACTGGCCCGGGTTGTAGCTGTGGCGGAAGGACTCCTTGCAGCGGCGACGGTTCTGGGAGTTTCTGGATGGAGATGCCATGGCGGCCAGGCCTAAAAACCTGTTCTGGTACAAATTCTGTTGGGGGCAAACAGACAGTCAGCAGGGGTGGGAGATGCCGGCTACGCGGTCAGTCACTGTCTTCACAGGGAAGGGAGGGGATGTGGGAATGCAGCCTCCCTGGGAAGGTCAGAAACAGACATAGAGCATCTTTCTCAGGGCATATGCTGAGCTCTGGGCTCACACGGGGAAGGCAAGAATGATACGCAAACTCACCAATGGCCGTGCCTCCCCCAGCTCCCTCCTGCTTGCTTAGTATCAAAAGGCCAGGCATGTCTGCAGGCCAGCCCTGGAGATGCGACTGCCCCTAGACAGAGTGCTATCTCTTGAGTCCACGAGCATTAATTCAATCGGATCCAATTTTTTCCTTCGTTAGGGTAAATAATGGTTGTTGTCACTGAACGTTTTAGCGATCCCTGCAGCATTCAAGGCCCTACACGCAGCCCAGAATTAGAGGTGGTCCCTGCTGGGTAAGGCTGTCACTCGCTCCTCTTCCATTTACAACTCTTTCACTCTACAGAGTGTCTCTGGGCTGTCTGACATTCTTATTAAGGATCTTAGATAGCCTCGTAATCTTCAAACACTGCAATTTTCACTAAAACCCCATTTCAGAGGACCCGTGTCTCCCTCAGAGCCAATGTTATTGCAGCAAACATTGCAACTGTTGAGGAAAAAAAAAGGCATTTTTTTTTAATTGTAAATTTACAACACTGAGCACTTAAAACGGGCTGAGCTGATGCAGAGCAAGAACTCGACTGTCTTGGATCCAGAGAGCTTTCCAAACACGGGCCACAGGGCATCTTATGGAATTAGGACAAAGGGTTCTTTTTTGAAACAAGCAAGGGTGATTCTGACTTCATCGAAGGTTACTAAAATTGGAGTTTCAATGCACATCTTTGGGGCTGCTGGCTATAAAAGTACACGCTGTTGTACAAGTAATAACACTTCTGTTTTCAAGAAGAGAAGATTAAGGCCTTCAAATGTGTCGAATCATGCTGCTTAGATCCCTGGGACTGTAATTTATCACCCACATCCATCAAATCCAAGTTACCGACTTTTCTGTTTACCAGCCACGAGGACCAGATCCCAGCACCCGTCTACTCTTTAGACGATATAAAGTCAACTGAGCAGTAATTTAGATCTGTTCTTTTTCCATCTCCCCAGACCAGGCACTTGTAAAAAGTCTATTAACCTGATAAAGCCTGCTGCTGGCATTCGGAGCCTCAGGCCTCCGTGGCCATGTGGCGTGCCTATCCGTTCATTATTTGAGTCTCTTGTTCGGAATTTTTCTGGCCCCACGGGCAGTAACCATGGAATTACCATCGGCAGAAAAGCCAGACTTCAGAAAGCATCTCATTACACTATTGGTACCATATGTCTTATTTTTGGGAAAAAAAAAAAAAGGCTTGCCACTGCAACAGCATGAAAATAGATGGACCACACTGTTGCCTGGAAACCGGTCCACCTCTCCGGAAGATGGGCACAGTCTTGAGCCCAGGAAGCACGAAGGGCCCACCCACCTCCCAGGCACCCTGTCTCTTCTGGGCTGTTAGGGGAGGATCCCGGTAACCTGACCACCACGCAGGGGGCTTTGTCCAGAAACCTTTGTAGAATCTCTAAAACAAGGAAGGCTGTTGCTGGAGAGCATAATGTTTCTCCTGTTTGTATGTACTTTCTGTGTACTAAGAGCATCTTACAGTGTCCTTATGGAGATGAAAAACGACTACTTGGAATTAAATGAGATAATCGTGTCTATGATTATGGCTTAGACCAAACCATGGGCAAATTTAGAGCAGCACCTCCCAGTTTCCTGAGACAACTCATTGGATCTTTCTAGTCCTCCGTTTTCTCATCTGTAAATGGAATGCTGTCAGAATTCAATGATAACGCAAATCAAGCTCTTACCATAGCAAGTGCTCAATAAATAAAAATCCGCTACTAAAATACCGCTAGCGTTGCTTGAGGAAGAGAGTCGCCCTGCAGTGGAGGTCCCAGGCAGTCGGCCAGGCTCCCCTACTGGCCAAGGGCCCCTCACATCATCCCCAGAGCTTCACACTTGAAGTCATCCTGCAACAAACCTACCAACCATTTAGTCATGGCCCTCCAGCTTTCCTTACAAAACCGAAATAGCCAACATTCCACAGGGCAGCATGTTTATAAAGATAGATTATAGTAAATCTATTTAGCAGTAATTTAGGTCTGTCCTTTTTCCACCTTCCAAGACCAGGGCATCTGCAAAAGGTCTGTTAACCTGATAAAGCACAGAACTGGCATTCGGCCTCTTGGGATTTCTGAATGGCCACGTGGCGGGCCTATCCATTCATATTTGAGTCCCTTGTTAGGAATTTTACCAATCTGCCACTTTTTTGGGTAAAACGTCCTTTGCTTTTTGGGTAAATACACCTCCCTTTATTTGTCAGGTGAGAGCCTGAGTGGGACGTGTTTGCGTTAATGCTAAGGCCGAGAGATCTTTATCCATGTGGTGTCAAAAAAGATTACAGTGTGTTTTTCCTTCACTGGAGACACTTCTGCTGGGATAATTTTTCTTAGAATTCCCTGGATATCAGGCAAGTCTCCTGAAACTGTCAAATTACACCAGTGATCACTGTCTACGTGGTGGGAACAAAGGCATAGATAGAAAGGGACATTAGTCAAGCAAGACGTTCGACAGTAATTTACCAGACTGAAGTGATGGCAGTGGCCTGGAATAAGAAAGGCACCCTCAATGCTGCTCCTTGAAGACCGGATGCCCCTCTCGTGCCCTCACCCCAGCCTTGCCCGAGTGCTCCCCACTCACACTTGCAGGCAGAATTTGCATTCTGATTTGAGGTTAATCTCCCAGCACCAAGTCTGCTATAACCCCTCCTTACAGCCTTTCCCATTCCCAAGGGAATGGGTCTTTCTGCTCCGCGATCCCTCAGGAATCTTATTCCCCTGCAAAGATTCTCATTGGATTTTTGTTACTTGACCTGTTCATGCTCTGCCCTATGCTGTGAAGACCCCTAAGTCAGGGTTTCTCGCTCTTTCTACCCCTTGGATCTGGCATGACTTCCAACACACACACACACACACACACACACACACACAAAGTGCTAAGAACTTTAATACACAAAATTTACTTTATTCAGTTATATCCTGTCTTGTTCCAGAAACAGTTTAAGATGACTAATAAAAATTGATAAAATACAGAAAGACATGATAACTTAGCAGTAGCTGGTGCAGAGGGTGAAAAAATTAGAGACAAAAAGCTATGTGGGGAGACAGCTAGCAGAAAACTCCACGCCGTCATGTCCTGAACAGGTGTTATTGTTAGAGACGCGCAGCAGCTGCTTCTCGAGTGCAGCAGGTGGATAGTTGACTCTCAGTCTGGTTCCTTCCCCGCCATGCTTTCCCCAGGCTTTCACAAGTGTTCTCATTTACATTATAGACTCATCCGGCTGGAAGAAGCAATTTAATCACTCTCCCTTCACATCTGAACCGTGGGAGATGGAGGAGGATCTGCCCTGTTCTTAAATAGCCTTGGATAAAAGACCACTTTCTTCCCAGACAGCCATTCTGTTGTTTTACAACCTCACATTTTCTTCCTCATCTCTAAGGCAAATCTCTTCTCCTCCCTCCCGGCACAGGGGAGGGGCGGCTTTCCCACTCTGTGGATGATGAGGAAGTTAACGCTATCACTAAACTGTTCCCAGCCTTTTCTGTGTCCCACCAAGTAATTCAAATTCAGGCAACAGACACTGGTAAGAAAACCACAAGAACGTTAGTAAAGTTTCAGTAACATTGTGATTTCCTGATTAACGGTTGTCATCGAGGGCCCCTAGTTACGGGCTATGCTGGGCATCGACTTGAACTGACCCTTGACAAAGTGGGTCCAGTGAGTGAGCCACAGAAAACAATCTGATCACATTGTGTCCTACTTTGTAGGGAGTGAGATCCCATCTGCTGGCCTGTTTCCTACTTGTAGCGGAGGGGCCAACAATGACGTTTTGTTTACTTGTTTTGCTTTTCGATGAAAATAACTCGTAATTGTTGAAATGTTTTGAATTAAGTAATATGTTCTTCGATGATTTTTTAAAAATCTTGGAATAGACCTTGTATGTTTAATATGATTAATATGCATTACAGTACGTTAGCAAAAACAAAATCTTCCAGAAGGAGACAGAATCTTAACAGCAAAAAAATCATCACTTCTGGGGAAGGAACAAGTTACTATGTATATCCTTAAAAACACACACACACACACTGGGAGACAAAAGATTTGGCTGTGTCAATTTCTGACACAGTCATTAATAGCTTTTCTGTTTTGGAATAGAAAGCCGTGAGGGCTGTCTCAGAATAAAAAGAAAGCAGACAAAAGGCATCTCCAGAACAGAGAAAACGATTCTTCAAAATTGAGTCTACACTCAGAAATCAAAAACTGTGGGTGAAAAACACACAGAAGGAAACTTCATTAAAGTATACAGGATGAGGGTATAGAAACTGGCATTAGTTAGTGGGAAGAAAGAATATAGGAGTTTTTGAGTTCATGAACACATTTTATTTTGAGCAAGTAGAGGCCCGAAGCATTTTTATCCTATACCCAGCTCTTGTTATGCCGTGGACAGTGTGGCGGTGGTAATGAAACTTCAGAAATATTATATACCTTGTCTTTTTTTGCAATGGATTTGAGAGCATTTACAACCAAAGATGTAAACAAGGAAATAGAGAAATACCAACCAGACAGAAATCAAGAAGTAGCAATAAGAAAGAGAATGATAATCATTATGAACATTCACTCAGTGCAGGGAACTTGGTGCATTATCTCATTAAAACCCTATCAACCATCACCCTTCAAGTTGGTGAGAAACAGCCCAGGATGGTTAATCAGCTTTCCCCAGGTCACAACTTTTACAGCAGGAAATAGGGACTTGAGCCAATTCTGTGTGATTATAAGTGGGTACTTGTATCACTCATAAGCATTCTCTCCAAATTATAACGTGGGGAGTTATAAAGTTGCAGAACTGACCCTCAGATACTCC